TTCAAAGTAAGGTAGAATCTGATGTATCGCGGTTCCCCTATACGCGAGTTATCATCTACTTATCCATGCTCGAATTTATTGAACGTGTACTGGTGGTTCTCAATATCGTGGAGGCAGGGCGACGCATTTTAATATAAGTATATATATCAAATCTTATTTTTGTTCGATCCGCAGACAATTTCATACGCTGGCAATTTTAGCGTTTTCTTTTTTTGTTAGAGAGGTTGTTAATATTATATTTCAGAAGGTGAAAACAGCGTAAAAACGACGTACCGGATGATGGTAGACAAAGACAGCGCTCTCTCTGTGCGTCTACCTTTATTCGTCCGTCGTTTTTTGCGCTGTTTTCATCTTCTGAAGTATGCCGTACCAAGTCGCCCAACCTTCAACTTTAGCAAGATAATATTCGTTAGGGCGCGTGTTTCATGTATAACAATGCTTTTTAAGTTGCTCAGTGACGTGTTTATTTTTTTTTTTTATTGAGGTGACATTACGTGATTTTAAGATAGAAGGGACGCTTTTCCGTTGCTCGTGCCACACCTTCTCGTTCTCCGACAACCACACCCTTCCCGATGAGTAGCGTCTCTAAGCGTCATACCAGTCGCAGTGGCCACCGCTCCGATGCGACACGCCGTATACCATCGGAGCGAAAACGAGAAATTCATCGACAGTCACGCTACATCTCACAGACTGTGTTTGGCGCCCCATCAAATACATACCAAATACCTGAGAGAGTAGCTCCGTAAGATGCGCGGTCGTCTGCAAGAACGCTTCTAAAATAGCGGGGAAAAAAAAAAGCGCCCGTGCATCACAAAAACGCTCACGACGCTCACGCCCGTAAACTGCCGCATTCTCTCGGCTCGCCTCCGGAAGTCGACTGATCCTGTAAGTCGGTTAAGCGTCGTTTACACGCAACGCACCCCGTCGGGTTGTCTATAGCGAAGGTATTTTCTACAACTTACGAAGGTGGCCGAGAGTGGCGCCCCTTAACACGCTCAGCGGTGCATCCATCCGGCAGTATAACAAAGACACGATTACGTTTTCCTGCTTCCGTGAAGGAAGAACCAACCCGCGTTGCTCTTGTCGCGTTATAAAAGTCCGTTCACACGCTCGCGACCTAACCTAACAGGGATAACAGAACGACCGACGCCTATATTAGTAGTGCTTTGTCTGCGAAGATACAAAGGACTATAATCCAGCTCAAACGGCGACAGCACCAAATACGAGACAGCGAGGCGGACAATCGCTGACAATGCGTTCGCCGAATCGTCCGAACGATCTCATCCTGTAGAAGGGTTACGCATCTTTCGCACATGGTCCAGCTCGCCTCCACGACATCTCTGTCAGCTCTTTTCAACTCGTCTCTTTTGGTTACGTTAAGTCGGGACCCTCTAGTAAAAGAGAGGAAGACGACATATTTTATTTATAATCTGCGCGTCAGTCAGGTGCGAGTGCGAATTGATTTTGTAATACCAGCGAATCCAACGAAGAATCTAACGTATGTGCCATCTCTGACAAGCCTTCCTCCGACACGCCCCAACGCAAACGAAGGCTGTCGCGAGGAGTCAAGGAACATCCGACGGGGCATTACACGTAAAAAAGAAGTACGTCAAAACCATCAGGAATTATACGTGGGATGTGCTGACGTCATGTCAGCTACCACCACGGGTGGCCTTGCTGCTAAGCACGAACACCCGCGGAGCACATGAGCTGAAATGCCCGACCCAGCCTTCTTCGGCGTCTGCGGTACCCCTGAAGGTCTGTTATCTTTCAATTTTTTTTTTTTATAGTTCGAAGAATGAGACCCCAACTTCACATTCCATTCGTAATTCAAAACGCAACTGTCTAAAAAATAAAAAAAAAACTGGCAGGTATCACAGAAGCACGAAGGACTCTTTCAACTCATATTGTTCGCGATAATATATTTTGCGGCATTCACTTCGCATCGCAAATTTGGTTTTCTCGGCAAGAAAAAAAAAAAGCTGAAATGACCTCCAGGATGATGCAATGACGCCACCCGCGTGCCACAAATACTTTCGCATGTTCCGTGTTTGCGGTAAAGAAAGACAAACCTCTCCTGAGAGACATACAGTGTTTTCGTTTTATGCTTGTTGAATCGCGCTTTAATCCCGCCAGGTTCTAAGGCACTGAAGTCGCACGTTGCAGTCTCCGTCTGCGTCGGAATCGAAGCTGCTTACAAAGTAATTCTGTTGTGCGTTGCTGCAGACAGCGAGAAGTTAGTCAGCCCGAATGGGTGTGAGCTTCTCCACTGTAGATGACATGTTTAGCCAGTGCAGTACTTACTGTAGCCTGAGTTCGCTAACGTGCGTCATGAAATAGTGATACACGACCACCCGTCGGTATACAATGCTCATCTGGATCGAAGCGGACAGGGGTGGGGAATTGGAGCTCAGGATCCCTGGGTTCTGCAGCGCGAGCTTTCGCTCCAAGTGCTCCAAGCTGTGGTGTGTTAACGCATTCGGGCGGCCATATCGAAACTACCACCCTGTAGCTGCATCGTTGTCAACATCGTCGCCCACGCAACCCGCGAATCGAAAGTCCACGGGGGCTCGGCGTACCGCAGAAATTCGAGCCCGTGAAGCGACAACGGAATGCAGGAGGTCATCCGACGCGTCGATTCCTCCGATGTGCCGTCGACCTCGTCCGGGCGGCGTCCATCTCGTCCAGGCGACACGTAGCTGTGCTGCCGCTGCCCACGCAACCGGAAACGGTGCCGTACGGGGCGACCCTCGAGTCAGCAAACACCATTACGCGTCGTTGATTCAAGGGGCCGTGCTGCCATGTGCCGGCCGCGCACATTGATACGCGGCGCCTGCCGGAGAGCGCGGGTTCAATGGTCGGCCCGCGGAATGCTTTCCCGTGCGCCTGCTCGGCGCCTCGACGACAATATGCTATCGAGGACGTCTTCTTTGGACACAGCCTTGCGTCTCGAGACCGTACAACAGACCCGTACAGCGCTTCGTATTTTTTATGTGTCGTAGCATTCACACGACCTATGACTTCATACAATGACCTCATATAATGACTTCGTGTAATTGACAGATTTATTAGCATTGTAATAAAGCTTATTAAAACCATAGTTATTCAATCAAGCGGTCATATTAAGTCACAGAATGAAAGAAGAAAAACCTCCTGTGGCGTTTCAAATACCGTAGCAATCTGGTGAGCTGGGCGAGCTACTGTTTCCTGTGTACCTTGAACACGTGTGGAGTCTTGTGCCCATAGCAGAGCAACGAGACACACATATGTTTTTGCAACGTTAGTTAAAGGAGTAATTTACTGCAAAACACCATCAAACAGCTCTCAAACCCTACTTTTTTTCTTTTTTTTTTTTTTTTGCGGCACTCGCAAAACGTTTGACATCATGGATTGACGTGTTGCTATCTAAGTTTTATTTTTTTATTTTTATGATAATTTCTTTTTGAAATGCATTGTCTTTTGTGCACCCCTAAGCGCTCTGTCTTTTAATAGCGTGTAACTGATGCCGGTATTTTACTTTTGTATGTATTTTATCACGTACGTGGAGCAGTGAAACTGGCTTCCTCCAAAGACATTCTAGCACGACCTTCTAGATATAGGTATTTGCCGTGCGCCTCATTTAAACTGTTTATGTATACTTATATTTTTAAACCTTAGTTCAAATAAAATTAGGGCTGTGTCGTCGTTCTTTCTGCATTTTCGTTATTTCCTTATTATGTACCACCTCCAAGAATATCTTCGCGAGATTAGTAGTATTGTGAAATAAATAAAAACGCGAAGCGATGTCTAACCTTGCCTTGATCACCTGATTGGCGGCTGGTAACACTGTTAAAAACCAAATGTATCTTAATTCTACGGAGAAATATGGAAGGCACGGTAGGTACAGTGTCTTTTAGGCTGCGGTGGGTGTTTTTTTTACAGGCTCTTCTCAGGTTCCTCCGGTAAATTAGAAGGGGAATCTGAATTGGCTAATACTTACATACCATTTCCATTTTTCCGTTAAGCTTAGCGTGCTACACTTTTGAATTACACTTTTGCACTACCCTTTATATGGACTTTTTTTTTATCCTCAGCTCTCCAGATTTTTTGCTGTAATAAATGAATACATCTTTCACGTCACTGCACTTATAATGAATACTGTTTCCCTTGAACATACGGTTAGGGCTCCAGCGAACTGGTGCCGATTGAACATAATAGACGAAAACCCGGAGACTAGAAAGAACGAGCAACGACACGGCGGAGATGTCACAAAAATCTTCTTGGGACTTCTGTCTCGTGTCGTCCCTCGTTTTCCCTATAAGCATAAGTATATACATATATACATGAAAAAAGTGTAAGCATAAGTATACTGTAGTATAAGGGTTTTAGTATATCCGGAGCGCAAGTTGGTCTGCTTCTTTTCCAGCGGTTGTGGTGACGTCAAAATGCCGAGCTCTGATTGGTTCTGACTGAAGGATAGTGGGTAGACCTCAAGGCAGCTTGCTTCGAGGTCTACCCACTATCCTTCAATCCCAGCCAATGAGAGCTCGGCCTTCTGACGTCATCACAACCTCTGCAACAGAAGCAGACGAACTTGCGCTCCCCATTATGTTTCCCTCATTCTTTTTGCGTAAGGCGATTACTCTGGCAGTCTGTCGATGTCTTCCGTCTATAGACCTTTTCCACAAGGGCGCCGCCATCTTGAATTGTCGTCACTTCCAGTATGGGCGAAATCATTGTTTTGCCGTCGCCACGCCAATAGAATGCATTTAAGAGAACAGCGTAACCGTCACACATTCTCGTTTTGGCTCCCCTCTATTTTTTTGCTAGTTACAGGTTGAAAAGTTTTATTATTTTTTCGTCGCCCATACTGGAAATGACGACAATCCAAGATGGCGGCGCACTTGCAGAAAAGGTCTATAATCACTTGTTTCTTTCGTTGAGTCGAGCTGTTTTTCTTGTTATTACTTTCGTGGCGTTTTCACGGCCGTTCTGACGAGAGCCACTTTCTCCCTTTCCAGGTACTTCGTGGTGACAGCGACGACGCTCCTTTGTCTGGGCGGCACGCTGGTGTACGAGGACTCTCGGCCGACGCCGTACAGCCCGGAGTACGGTCCGGACTGCGCGCTCATCGTCACCACCACCAAGCCACACGCGGCCATCATACAGAAACCGCCGCTGGGTTCCACCTCGGGGCTGCAGTACATCTCAAACTTCGTGCCGCAGTGAGTGCAAGCGTCCAACGCAGCGCACGACGCGGTCGTCGCTGTCCTTGAATTGGCGGTATGCGTCTGCCCAAGGAATAAGATTGGTGGAGGCAAAACGCACTGTAATCACCGACAAGGTGAAAACGGCAGGAACGAGCAGGGTGGAGAGTGAACATCTATGCGATTTAAATCGCGATTGGAATCGGGCCAGTTTCAGCGTGACCGATTCGATTCAAACGTCTCCCATGAAAATTCCTCCGAAAATATTATTTTTTTTATTTGCCGTTTGTTTAGCATTTGATGGTTTTCGTGTGCATTTGCTTCGCATTTAAATCAAGAAATCATCATTCAAGGAAGGTTTATTCCAAGCTGAACCCGAGCAAAAAAAAAAGGGGGGGGGGGGGCTTTGCTTAGCGAATTGCAGCGTTGAACTTGATTTCTACTTTTTACTTCGTTGGTGAGCTACGTTCATACGTCCTTTCATTCAAAACGCAAAAAAAAAAAAGAATGTTTTATCACAATCAAATCAGAACTAAAAAAAAGTATAAAATGTTTTACCATAGCACAAAAAAGCCAGGATATATAGGATCTAGTACGTCGGTGATTACAGTAAAAGGTTATTGAAACAGCTTAACATATCCAGTAATTCTTTCTTCCGAATTATCAGCAATCCTACGAATCGATCAATCCATTCAAAAATCGCGGCTCTCCTGAGCTAAAGTAAATATATCATATCATATCATATCATATATCATATCTGCTATACTGAAAAATACACGATGCGGTAAAGAAACACTATTTGCAAGTACGCTGATTTGAATAAAATAAATCTCATCTATCGGATTAAAAAACAATTTGCGTTGGGGAGAAGTTTTTGTTGTCCCGCTCCAACGAGGGCGTCTATACCTTCGACAATGCTTCCACGTCTCGTGCACCTCGAGCTCGCTCGGCCAAAGCACCACAAAAGGCACGCAGCGTGTGGTGGATACCTGTCGGTTCGAACGGCACTCTCTGCCATTCTCACTCTTTCGAAGTGTGCGAATACCGCTTAGAACCGAACAGAGCAGTGTCACACCTGTAGCTTAAACGCTGCTCGACACAGCGAGATTCCATTTGAATTATCGTTTGTACAGCCCTTTACAAATTAGACGTTGGAGGTTTAGGATACACACTCCAGATATGCAACTTAACCGGCGTAGCGTATACGACTTCGTTCGCCCATAGGGATTTTTAACGTGGACGCACGAGGCAGCGATATGCTACCGCCCATGACGGTACGATTCTTATCCTGATCGAAATGAACGGGCAGCGGTACCAAAGTTATGCATCCTTTCACTTCACGTACTCCGAGCTACGGTGCACACTCGGCCACCGAAGCCCTTCAAGGCTGGTCAAGGACATGTGATGTCAACCGCGGTAAAGAGGCCCCAAGGTTTTCTTTGCTTCATCCCGCAACCAAAAAATAGTTACATAAAAAATTAAAGACAAAAAAACAGGGGTACTGGTGACTTGAGTATGTTAATCCAAAGCTCGCGCTGCAGAACCTAGCGATCGTTCTTGTATTCAATCCAAGTCCCCACTAATTGAGATATGGATATGAATCGCGACGTTATGCAGTCGCACTGGCCATCTACCGAATATTTTCGAGCACTTAGTAAAAAAAGACACAAAAAAAACGTTAAATAAGCAAATGAGCGGAGTGCAATAAATCAATTCATAAAGGTTTATATATATATATATATATGTTAAAAGCTGCCCTCACGAAATTTGAGAATAATGAATGCACCACCTAAGGACACCTTTGTGAAAAGCTTTTTACGGCGCTTCGTTTACTGGCTAATTTAGAGGGTTCATTCTGCGACTGAATAGCGCGCAGAAGACCCAGCAAAGTGGAGACGCGCCACTTCCAGCTAGTAGATTAGAAAACTTACCGCTTCCTGAACCTTTATCCAACAAATTTAGCTTTTGGAAAATATCGGCGTAGTAGAATTTTCACACGCGAGGGAGCAAACTTGGGAGACAGGTTGTTTTCCCGGAAGGCAACAGCGTATACTTGTGGTCATGGGTAGTGTGAAAACATCAAGGCGAGCGAAAGAAGCAAGAGCTATTTCTCGTGTGGACTGTAAAACACCACTTAGTCAAACAACAACTAGTTAATCAATTTCGGTATATGCCTTTCTCAATTATAACTTAAAGAATACACTGTCCTTCTAATGCGCCAGCAGAAAAGTTCTACTCAGTTCCATCTTTCTCTTTTTCCCTTCAAATCCAAACGCAAAAACACACACATAAAAAAAATGAAAGACGTTTACAATTTCCTGTAACGCCGAATTAGAGCGCAGCTCTTGAGGAGGAGGAGGAAGTGAAGGTTCGGAGAGGAGGGTATGCCTTTCCTCCTCATCCGCGCCCTCTTCTGCTCGCCTCCCGTTTAGGGGAAACGTTCCCGCTAAATTCAGCGGGGAATTTTTTCCGCTAAATTTAGCGGAGAAATTCGCACGCTAAATGTAGAGGGGAAAATGTTCCGATAAATTTAGCGGGAAAATTTTTTTCGCTAAATTCAACGGGGAATTTTTTCTGCTAGATTAAGCGGAGAAAATTTTCCGCAAAGAGCGAGGAAATTTATTCATAAAGCAATGCGCGGTGACGCTCGTGACGTCATCAAGGGAAACATCCCATGATGCACCGCGCGGTTACGCCGACGCCGACGCCGCTCAAGCCGCAAACGGGCGCCTAAGAGCTGCGCTCTAAAAAAGAAAGTAAAAGTCCTCCTAAATCCCAGCGAAATAAACAAAACTGTTTCGACCACGCTCGTAAAACGCAGATCAAATCGAGCACGATGTAAAGGGGTCTGCGGCAATTAGCCTTGTGCACGGATGACGTAAATCGCGGGCGGCTCTTCACACGGAAGGCCTTTCGGCACACCGGTGCGAACTGGGTAGGGTCACGTGCCGCCGTTTCGAAACTGTGTTGCGTCAACGGAGGAAGACACTGCCATCGCCTCCCGGAAGTGCATTCAATGCGCCGATTGCACTTTCGCTCTGGTCTCTCGCCGCGTTGCGAGGCTCGCCTTTTTAATCCCTGCGTGTTTTCGCGAGGCAAGGACTCAAACTTTCGGAACAAATGGTACGACAGATGTTTCGCTCAAACGGCCTTTCGCAGATCTGGACGGTTCAACCAACGCCAAGCGGAAGGTTCTTCGCTCAAAAAATTAAACGCGAGCCGATTTCTCGTAACACAATATCGAGAGATGTTCGCGCTAGTTTTATTTGCCGTGCGACGGAGCCCGGAATCTCCAGTCGTAAAGTATCCCGAAAAGGAAACAACAATACCGGCCTAAATTTTATAAAATTACTCTAGTCAGATACAAGTTAATAAGCTCCGTCTCCATCATCGGCTGTATCCCTCGAATAACACTCGGGGGTTCGCGTAAGCACGGCTATAGTCAAAGTGCGAGGGAGGGTAACACCAAGCGCGTGCTGTAGGCGGAGCTTCCAGCATATTTTTAACTTAAAGCGACATTTATTAATTGCGCAACTTGCCCAAAAGACGATACATTTCAAAAGTCAATCAAGCAACCCCAGCGGTCGCTATCTCTTATACGGACGGCGCGTGGTTGGATATGAATCTTCGTCGAAAGCTAACGCGCTCGTTTTCGATAGGAGCCGAGTTTGAGTTCGTACGACGAACGCTGACAGAGTCTTCGTGTCCGATACATGCTCAAAACACGTAACTAAAAAAAGAAAGCTTATTTGGAGAATTGGCGGAGCCTCTACTTAGATGTACTCTTACGAAAAGAACCGATTGTCGTGCCACGAAACATACCCGTTAAAAAGTGGTCCACTACGATACACATTTTTCTTCGTAATTTAAACGCCCCTCGGTGCACTTTTTTCTTTCTTCTGTACAATAATTATAGGCTTGCACCGCTCCCGATTACAATCTTGCATCGTACTACAGCCGCATATGTTTACAGCACGATACCACAAGAAACAAACGAACAAACAAAAACTTTTAATATTCGCATCATTCACGCCACGTGCATGCTCGCCACTCCCATCGCGTTCCCCCCTCGTTCCGCGACGAGAGGAAAGTATCGAATCCCCGTGACACGGATTCCCTGCCAGCTTCATTCCGTCGCCCGTATCCGATCTCGAATGAAAAAGTCGGGGACGAAAACAACGGGCCTCCATCCATTCATTCTATAGCCGCGCCCCGCAAAGATCCCGCGCCCGCCATTCCAATCACTTTCCGGCACTTTCTCCTTTCCAATTACATCGCGTAATTCGCGTACACGAGTGCAACCTCCACCGGTAGATCACAATGGTTACCGCACAGCCCCACATCTCGAATGGCGCCACGAAAGCGCCAATCAAATTTGTGAGCATGCAGCGAGAGAACGGGCGTTGCGAAACTCCGGATCAAAAACGTGTAAACATGACCAGAGGGGGTTCTCATGCGTTGCTCTCCCCGCAACGATAATACTAACTACTTAGTTTTAGCTTGAGTTCAGACACAGCCGACGCTACGAAGCTAATTGGACCAATCAGGCAGCATCAGAAGCGCGAGTCACCGGGCCTTGTTTGTTTATCACTGGTTCAGGGATGATAGACCACGTACTGAAACATGGCGAACACCATGGAGGTGCACTTTTGGAGCTGTCTGGTTGGTCCCATAAGCTCGTAGCGTTCTGCCTCTGGACCGAAGGTGAAAGAAAGGATAACATAATCATAATAACGATTATAATAAATATTTGACACGGGCCCAACTGGCAGCCACCCTCCCCGGGTATTGTAGTAGGCACTTCCACTTGGACCCTGACCCGGATTATGTTAGCACGCGATCGAGTCCGGGACGTAAACGCATTGGATCAATACGAGCGCGCACGCAACAAACATCCCCCAACTTTCTCGGACGTCGAGGCGTCTGCGCACGCACTAAAAAGATCATTAAAACGGAACAACAACATCGCAATGCTCCCCGCGGGAACATTGTAACACGATGGCGTTAAGGAACTCCCG